AGGAAGAGTAGTGGGCGGCCAGGGGTCACAAGGCCACTGCATTAGCCATGTAACAGGGCGCTTGGCGAGGCCACTGGCAGTGATGGGGTGGGGGCAGCAACCAGGCTGTGACAGGCCAAGCAGTGAGCGCTGAGACTCTGAGACAAGGCCTGAACAGATGTTGGGGCTCGGGGACCAGAGCACCCTGGTTGCCGGGATCCAAACTGCATTCTACCAGCTGGGCTCCAGGGGGCAGCATCGTACAGAACACAACTTGACCTCCTGGGAAGTTGTGCAATGGGGTGACACTGGAAGGGACCCCATGCCAACTGGCCCGTTCCCCTGGCCTCAGAGGACCCCGAAGGTTACGAAATTCTGTGTTTTCCCCAAGAACCACGCAGGGGCAGGGAAAGCAGAAGTCAGGATGATTGGGACGCGCAGCCTGCCCCGCGACAGTCTGCCCGTCAAGGGGGGGGCAGGCAGGGTGTGCAGCGTCCTGCCGGGGCTGTGCTCACCTGCTCCGGGTTGGGTACCACAAAGGGCATGAGGGCATCCATGGGCACCACCCACGGAGAGATGGTGGTCCCAAAACTCTTCCCGAGGAACGGCCCAAGAGGGACGTACTCCCACTTCTGTGTGTCTCGAGCTACAGAAGGAAAGAAGGGCTTACAAGGGCTGACGGGGGCCTCGCCCCAACGCTCCCTCGTCCCCGACCGCGGAGCACAGATGGTGCTCTGGCCCCCACCTGGCTGCCCCGGACCAAGCGGCCACAGCATCCAATGCCAAGGACAGAGGTCCCCTGGGTCACTGTACCAGGTTACAGCAAAGAGAAGAATGACCAAAGGGCAGGCACAAGGGGCTGGACACATTCTCCAGCTGTGAGGTGGACAGCTCCTGGACTCAGGCGCCATCCTCCTCTGCAGGTGGCAGAGGCTCAGGGACTCAGCTGGGTTGGAAACCTTTAGCTCAGCAACTGACTGAAATCCCAGTGTGCCTCAGCCCCTCATCGGAGAGGTGGGAATGACGGGCCTGTGCCTTGCAGGCGTTCAGCACAGGGTTGGGCACACACGGCTCACACCTATTGGCTGTGACATCAGCCAGGTCCCCATTCAACTTACAGGAGCCCTGGGGCTCAAGGAGCTGCACTGACTG